GTTGTTGACATCGTTGCTTTTGGTTCGCTTGTAAATGACCCAGTTCATTATATTGCATATTTTTCATATATATATTGAAATGCATTCCGATCCGTTTACGTGCAGAAAGCTGTCATCGAACGAATCGTCGATTGTCCGATAAGAAAATATTGCTATTGTCCTTGTGCGCGCGCGAGAGAGCTAAGAATGTACCAAAAGTACATACACACACACACACACACACTCAGCAAATTAAATTAGTTGTGATGGTTCAGCTTATGAGTTTATTGAACCCTTACACATGTACTTATTGTATTTTCTTCGTTTTTTTCGAATTTTAGATCGAATCAAACACATTTCGTCTTCGTCTTCCATTTTCTGTGTGTGCGCGTTTGTGTGTCGCCTTTTGTTTCAAACTGTTTGTATTTGTTTATTGTCGTAAGATTGGATTGGAGTGTATTGAACTGAGCGCGGTGAACATATGTCATACAATTTACACATGAAATGCAGGGCATTGACAATCGTCACTCTGGCAAAATGTGAGCATGTGGAGCACAAATGCAAAACTCTTCAAATGAATTGATGATGATTTGGTTTTGCCATATTCCTAGTGGCACCGCTTCATTTCAAATATTCAAATCTCTTCGTTCTGTACCTTTTTTTCCACTCTAGTTGTCTTAAATGTTACGTCGATTGTGCTGGTGGTGCGTCTGCAGCACACTTCGTCGTATGTATAGGATATGGTGTTAATTTATGAAGATGGCAATAATTGTCGACATTTCGAAATGAAAGTGCTGATATTCATGGGCGACTGATGGCTCGCTCGCTCATTCTGGCCATCGTTTTCACGAACGCACCGCCACTCAAGCGCTCGACAAGATCACACAACCGACCGACCATTTGCTAACCGTAAATTAATTGATTGCATGTGGATACTTATAGAATTAAAATAACGCACATAAGACAAAGACGTTGGCTTGTTGTTGCTGTCTTTCATTTAATTTAATTTAATTCACGCTCATTTCACGTATATTTTGTGGTGTTGTAATCTATTTTTGAAGAGAAGTTCAGCTCTTTACTCATACACACACACACACACACACGAACTCGACTCAAGATATATCGACCAACGCAAGCAGCAGCAGCAGCAGCAACGGCAACGGCACCGGCATCAGTCTCTTGTCGACGTTTTGCTAAATGGCGTGAAAATCAGTCGAAAATTACATTTACAAAATGAAAACGAAACGAGCATAGGGAAGCATAGCAGCTCAAAAGACTCACCGGCACAATGAATAATTGTGACTAATTACACGTCAATTAAAATAGTGTCAACGGCGACGCCACTTGAGCCATCTTTCGAAATAGATTTAACTTAGAAAATTTTCATGCAATTTGAAATTAAAAGACAGAGGTGGAGAGATAGTGTATGAGTGTATGGGTGTCCGTGTGGCTAGTTGTGATTTTTCATTTTTGGTAGACGTTGCAGATTTCTCTCTCTCTCTCTCTCTCGATCGAACCGTCGTCAGTTTTGGACTTGGATTTTGTCTTTAGTCAGCAACATTCTTATCGTCAAATTAGCTTTCACTCTTTTCTGCAACCAAGCATTCAGTTTGCCGTTGCTCTCTGTCCTGCTCCTGATGTAACCAAACGAGGGAGAGGGGGAGAGGGACGGCGCTCGCTACCTTTTTCAATTTTATTATCACATTGGTACAATTTAAGTGCATGCACTGTTGTGTTCAATGCACTATATATTACTGAAAAGGGCACAAAGGTCATATTTTGCCTTACGCTTTGATGCACAACAACGCGCGCGCTACAAGCCAAGCCAAGCAATAGTGAAATGCTTTCTCGTGCAACGGAAAACACACAAGACGAGAAAAAAAATCAAACACACATACGATGAGCAAGAGAAAGAAAGAAAGGGAGTTTGTGAGAGAGAGAGAGAGAGAGAGAGAGAGAGAGAGAGAGAGAGAGAGAGGAAGACGGAGAGGAAAGCTTCTCCACTTACTCCTGATTTTTTCTTTCTCTCAATACGAATTCATTTGGGTGTTCGACATTGAACAATGCGATAAACAGTACATTGACTGCACAACATTTGCTTCATTTGTTATTATTACAATTATGACTATCAATGGTGTGCTCACTCTCTCTCTCTCTCTCGATGCGTGAATGTTGACTGGTGGACACGTTACGCTCTGAATGAGTGTGAATCATTCAGCATTTCCACAAGGATAACAACAACAACAACGAATGGAATAGAAGAGAGCGAAAAAACCCGCACGTATTGAGTTCAATTAGCCATAGCTATTGATAACATGAAACTGCGTGACTCAACGGCTAACATTTGATCTCGTTCGGGAAATCAATTATGTAATGTATTCCATCGAATGAAGGAGCTCAAAATCAATATCCGTTTCGTTAGCCAACTTTTTTTTGCCTTCATTTCGCTTTAACTATCGTATCGATGATGATGATGATGATGATGATGAGATGGTTGAATGGCATTAATTCAAAGAATGAATGTAATGAATTTACGGGAACTTGCTTGCAAATCAAGCATTTAATATGCAATCAATGATTAGTTGAGGTGGCGAAAAGTGTTTTTATAGATGTTCATCATTAAAATTTCATTTCGAAATCACGTGACCGAGAATTTGTGTGCGAAAGATATGATTTCTATTTCAATGAGCTCAACGAAACGGGGTAGAGATGATGTGCGTAGGATTGAAAAATGTGGAAAGGACTTTATATTGTCCACGTCGCAGACGAGCCAAAGATGAGCAAACAATTGAATGAAACGCCACTGTGTGATTTCCTCTGTGTTACTTGCCATTTTGCATATATGATGAAATCGAATTTAGCATAATAGACTTAGACGAAGGCCATTCGATGTCGAACCGCGATGAGTATGATCTCATGCACCTTCCATAAAGCGTAAAGCACGCGCTCAATACCCAATACATTGCGCACATACTTTGTATGAACGACAAACACACGGGGCCGCGTTTTGCATCTTTTTACCATACCGAATGGCCATTCTGAAAATGAATTACAATGTGTTTATTTTGCATTTTACGCACGGTGCTGTCGTCGTCGTCGGTGTTGTCGTCGTTTGGGTGCAAAAACGCGTGCAATAAATACTTTTCTTCTCTTTTTTTTTCCTTCGCTCTTATTGTTATTGTACAAGAACGCGAATGCAAATGAAATGTGTATCGCATTTTATCACAAACCCGAATATATTTTGCCATTGGTCGGTTGATCGCGGTGTGTATGTGTATGCGCGTCAATGCTCAGTCGGACTGAGTCAAAGCCAATGAGCTTCCATTTCACACTTTCTGAAGGATTACAGTCAAAAAGCCAAGTGAAAAACTATGAAGTTGTTTTTGATTGCAAAAAAAAGAACGGAGAGACAGAGAGATATATAAATGCACCCGACACACTCGCCAATTGGATGGAAATGTATACCGAGCAAAACGAATAAAAAAAAAACACACAACACTGAAACTGCAACGGAGAAACGGAATCGAGTGGATAGCAGGCAAGCGTGTTGCATTTGTATTTGCGCCACCACAGAAACTACCTCAATACATTGCACAGTATACGTACATCGTATACACACAGTGTGTGTACGCGTATATATATATATATATATATATATACATATATATATCTACGGCAAAGTGAATTATGAGATGCCTGAAGAGTTTAACGAAACACTTATTCTTCTTGGTAAGCTAGTTGGCTTGAAGTCACACTGTCGAAAACAATACACTTCGGTTTCGGCAAGAGAGAGCAAAGCGAAAATAGCAAGAGCGGGAAAAACGAAATTCAGTGTGTCGTGGTCGTCGAATTTTTTTTTTCGTATTTCTTCTTGCTTTCTTTTGCACAAAAGTTTTGGTCGTTTTCGCGTACAAATGTACACGCATGTTGTAGGTGTGGATACCGAATTCGATTGATACATGCCGTTAATTTGTTGCTTTTCCGGTTTGTAAAGTGTAAACGGTAAAGTAAGTGTTTGTTTCGTTTCGTTTGATTTGATTGGGTTAAGTCAACACACCACATCGAAATAATAAAGTTTGCGAATTTTGGGCATTCATTAGAGAATGGCCCGAAGTAAATGCACACATTTCATTCAGTGTGTCAAATGAAAATAAACTTATTTTCGTCACATAAATGCAGTTCAAAATGCAGTCGCGGTCGGTCGTCATCGCTACTGCTGCTGCTGCTTGTTGCTGCGATTACTGCAGCCGTGTCTCGAGATTATTATGACCGACGGTTAACAATAGTTGAGTGCAATATGTGAATTAGAAGAGCGAGTGAGCGAGTGAGCGAGAGAGAGAGAAATATGTACGGCGATTCAATCGAAATGTAAAGCTTCATTAGAAGAGCGTTTGGCTATTTCTGTGGTGCTTCGTTCATTTCAGCTATGCTGATTATTCAATTATTTTAAAATATGATCCGTTACATGTTCTACGAAAATAGAACACGAAATCGGAGCCGAAGCAAAACGCTTGTGAAAAGTTCATTGATCTTTTAATAACAACATTTTTTTTCTTTCGTCAAGTGTGTGTATGTGTAAGAGAGCGGGAGAGCGACAGAGAAAGACGAATGCGATTTGATAAGCGCGCTAACTAAAAACGAGTGCGCTCGATGTGAAAGTGTATTCGCGCCGAACGAATAACAATTCACTCGAATTTTTGTGAATTCCTTGTGTTTTCTTTTTTGCTCGATTTCATTCCGTCCAACACACAGAAATGTTCACATAAACATCCAAATAAATAAATACCATATTATTTGAACGCCGATGCGCCAATAGTTCAGTGGAGCAGACTTTGATCGCAATTCTATTTGAACCACCGATAGATTCGAAGTCGGTGTTTATCTGTTTTCTTCTTTTTTGTGTGTAGAAATCTTCTTCGAAAAGTAGAAAATAATGATAATTAATCCCAAAATCATCTTGAAAAAGGATCGTATTTTCGTGCCAATTATCAATTCTTTTTTTCTTCTCTGTCTATTTTTAGTTTGAGCAGAGACAACAAAACGACGATGCGTGATAATCGAGGTGTAAATCGGATGGTGGAAGTATTGAACAGTGGCATTGATACTGGAAGTTCGTCGAATCTCGTTACAAAATCAACGCCCGTTGATGGATCGGTACTGAAAGAACGAAACATCAACGAGACCAGCGATTCAACGAAAATTCACGGCACCGATGCAAAGGATGCAAAGACCGATGATGACCGTGAGCGAAAGTCGAATGCTCAAAGTGCCAGTGAATTGAATATAAAGCGAAGCCTAAGCCATCAAAGTGGAAATGAATTAATGATAAATCTCGATTTGGATCATGATTTGGACGAGATTGATTATGAAGAAAAATGTGCCAAAGCATTGACCTCTGAAGGTGACAATGACAGTCAGAATACATTGGGCATGGATGTCGATGAACCGAGTGAAAATCTATACGTCAGCAATACAGCACGAAGATCCGGATCGACGGTGGCGTCGGCGGCGGCGGCGGCCAAGACCGAAGAAGACGATATCGATGATCCGGTGACAATTGAAAGCGAAGAGGAAACATTAAGTAAAAGCAATGCCCCCCATGAGAGCAAAATCATCGTAAATGGAATTAGCAGCAGCAACAACAACAACAACAACAAGGGCAGTTCGTCGTCGTCGTCGGCGGCAGAAGACGTAGATAAAGAGACGAAATCAGTCGATGATAACATGGCTACAAAAACCACAAACAAATCAAATAAACGGAAAATTTCCATTTCGTCGGACGATGAGCAAGCACCACCCGCTAAGAAGTAAACTACTTTTTTTTATTCTCCTTTATTTCAATTTCAATTCACATCAACAATTTTCTAAATCGATTTTCTATTTTCTCCACCGTTTTCTTCTTCATTTGTATGTATGCATGCACGTGTATGTGTGTGTGTGTGTGTGTGTCCACGATATAGCCCACGAAATGAGATCGAGGAAAATTTCTCGAAGCATGATAAAATGATGCGCCGAATGATTGAATCATCAACGTCAGCCAATAAAAATGATCCCGACAATTTGCAGCGTGACATTGACCAGTTGACCAATGAAATTGAGGCATTGGATGAAGCAGCTCGCACCAAAGAAATCGAATGGAACAACATTCTGTACTTGAAGAAGATGAAAGAAGACATGCTGTTACGATTAAATCGCAAGAAAACCGTCATCGAAATCATGGCCACCAAGTCAATTGACAATCCGGAAAGTTTGTTCCTCAATAGCAGTACATTAGACTGTTTGAATGAGCTGAGTGCAAATGAATCGAAAAAATCGGGCGGCATTGGTCCGGCCACATCGTTCATTATGTCTCGATGCAACATGAAAAGTGTTGATTTAGCCAAAGAAAAGTCTAACTTGAACGAACTGCACAGGTAAAATGATTTGCTTCGATTGAAGAGATTTTTTTTTCGTTTTTTCATTTGCATTTTCATTTCATTATCATTTCGCAATCGTGCTTTGTGTGTTCTGTTATCTTTTATTCATTCTGGTTGAGACTCAGCCTAACATTACTGTTTATGCTTGCTTTTTCTAACCTCTTCATTATTTTTGTCGAATTTTCATTTAATTTGATAAAATTTTGTCTTTTGAAATGAGCATGAGTCTGATACATTTTTCTCATGACGATGATGATGATGACGATGATGATGATGATGATGATAAATAATTTAATTCATAGAACTTTTTTTTTATTCTCCTGGAATGAGTCTGAATTCCGGCGTAGCTTTTTTAAGAAATGCAAGACACAAATGCACGTTAGCCCACCTCAAAAAGTGTGACTGAAACACATATTCAGATGCATTGGTGTAGTTTTTTCTCCTTCTGCTGTATCACAACCCGTTCACTCTTGAGAGTGCTGCATTTTGTGCCAAAAAAATTACGGGTAGTTGCATACCGAAATGCGCACCAAAATTAAATCATATTCCCAATTACTGAACAAAAGTTCTTCTCAGTTCATGTTGGAGCGGCAAGTGCTGCGCCCGCTCATTGCCGGCCATATTGGTCGACATCGCGGTGTCTAATTGATTAGAGTCATTCGACTCTGATCCCAGCCTCGAGGACTGTTGACGGCGCTGCCCCACGCCTAGGCCAGGGGCCATATATGTAAAACTATTCATACCGCATATATATACTATTCTATGTAAATTTGTTGCTTAGCGAATTATAAGCATTGTTACCAAAATAAAAAACAGTCGAGACACAAACAAAATTGGTGGTGTGCATCTGTACTGTTATTGGTTTGTGTTTATGCTCACATTCAACAATTGCCAATGCATGCAATTGATGAACAGATTTATTCTTTTATTCATTTTTTCTCCTCATGCTCTTATTTTACAAAATATAAATTATAGAAGAAAAAAAAAATTTTGTGCACAACAATTGATTATGTTTCGAAATGAAATTTTCATTCCGAACAACACAACAAATCTTTTGCATAGTCTGAAGTTGGCTATTTGTTGGCTGAAATACATATATGCATATACATATAACATAAAACAACAACGCGTAAACACAATGCGAATCAATTCCTCGACCATTAGGCCATTTCATGTTAACCTCAATCCGTAATATCCTTATAATTTATTTACATAGCATTGTGTTCCCCAGAAATATTCAGCCAAAATCAACGCAATCGCTGCGAACCAACAATGCATATGCCAATGTTGTTACCTCAATACCAAAATCGTCACCGGCCATTCAAACGCAGCAACAGCAACAATCATACTTATCGCAACGATTCCGTGAAAATGGCCAAAGCCTATTGAATTCAGCCAATCAATTGGAACAGGCGGCGAATAAGATGCAAATCGGGCGACAAGGTCAAATCAAAGATGTGCAATCGATCATTGCCAACTTTCGACAAACGCATCCGGAGGTGGTCCCGCGGCGTGGCCGCCGCTTGAAAAATGTTAACCAAAATCTGTACGGAAATGAACAGGGCAGCAATTCAGCGGGTGATAATACGGATGCTCTGGTAGCGGATCTATTATCGAAACGGAACAATGACATCAGCTCACCGCCATCGTCAAATGATTCCACCTACAGCAATTCACAAGTACTGCTATCGAAAGCCGGCGCATCAAATCAATATGGCTCCATTGCAGCAGGTATATTCAACGCAAATCCAATTTCTTATGGGCAAAAATTCAACGATTTGCGATTTTTTTTTCCAGGCAATTTTAAGCAAGCATTTAATGAGAACAATATCGGCGGTGGGCTAGGTTTGAAGAATAACAGTCTTTTGACCAGCACACCGTTATTCAAGAACCAGAACAGCGGTATCGGTTACCCAGAAGTCACATTGCACCCAATTGGTCAGTCCAGCCATTCGGCACTTCTCCACAACCAAAAGAACAACAATGATCATCTATCCGATGCTCATACCAATTCCCTATTACATGGAATATTAACAAAGGTACTTAATAATCGTTTCGTTTTTCTTCCTCTAATTTATTCTTTCACATTGATTTTAATTCGTCGATTTTTTATCCAATTTCTCCGAATAGAGCTCAAAGCTAAAAGGATCATCAACCGTAACAACAGGCATGACGTCAACTGCGAATGCGACCGGTTTCAATAATGCATTTTCGCCCACATTGGCTCGCCTTCTGACCGCGCCGGAACGAAACTTCGCACTCAGCACCGCTTTATCGTCAAACAATGGTGGCAACAATGCCAATAACAACAACAACAACAACAACAACACCTTCTTTTCAAATCAAGCGGCCGGTATAAATCTTACCAAATCAAGTAACTCGCGTTCGCAACAACAACAGCAAGATTCAAGCAAGCCGGAAATCTCATGTCTACCCATCTCACAAATTTTAGCATTTCAACAGCAACAACAACAGCAGCCACAAAATAATTCACTTTTGCAGCAACAATTGCAACGTTATCAACGTGATATCAACAAATTTTTACCGAAGAACAATGTTTTGTTCAATTTGGTATGTGTATTCAATTGACGGTTGGAAGGAGATTTAAAAAAAATGCAATTCCCATTTTGACTAATGGAACGAATCAATCTCTCTCTCTCTCTCTCTCTCTCTCTCTCTCTCATGATAGGATGATGAAGCGGACGATAGTGATCGTTTGGTGATTGATGAGGAACAGTATTCAAATAGCGAAATGATCGGTGGTACATCTGGAAAGTTGAATGATGATTCGCATGAGAATGAATTGCCCGTGTGTCAAGGGTGCAAAAAGAGTGAAGCACAATTTGTATGTGCCGATTGTCAGCGTCAGTGGTATTGCAGCCGTGAATGTCAGGTAAAATGAAACATGTTCAAGGTCATCAAGCAATCGAATTTATTTTTAATGAATCATTTTTTTTCGCTTCTTCCCATTCTTTCGGAATTTTCTAGGTAATGGCATGGGACGAGCATTCAGAAGTTTGCGGCCGATAAATATCCTTTCTCTGTTCGGTCATTCAACACAATCAGATTTTTCTAGCATTCATACTATTAATTTCTTCTTCTTTTTCTTGATTTCAATGAATTTTTTTCCTTGTGTTCATTTGAAAAATGGAAACGTTTATACACGAAAAAACAAACAAACAAACAAACAAACAAAAAACCAACCATTTATACCAGACAAAATGAAATATCAGAATATCTATTATTTTGTACAAAAAAAAACAAAGCACTAAAAAGAAAATGAATACAGAAAAAATCTACTTCAGAAAAATACAAAAAAAAAACCAATTTACATAGAAAAAAATCAAAATAAATCTTTTCTATATATATTATATATACATGTATTGGGTCAATTCGAAAGTTTCAGCCGCTGAAATTTAAATGTCGCCACTTGTAACTGAGCGTAGCTTGACAAGTGAATCCAATTGCATTTTGTAGATGTGACATTTAGCAATCTAACTCAGAGCAGAAAGATTCATTTTTCGTTTTGCGTCATTGTTTTTGAATCGATTGAAAATGGATCGTGATAAGGTGTTTTTTCGAGGGGCCCTTCTTTTCTTATTTGATTCGAAGAAAACTGCCGCTGAAGCTCATCGAATGCTGTCAGATACTTATGGCGAGCAAGCTCCATCGGAACGAAGCTGCAGAGAATGGTTTCATCGATTCAAAAGTGGTGATTTTGACTTGAAAGACAAAGAACGTTCAGGTCGGCCAGAAGCGAGGTATTACAATGGTTATTACATTGGTTAATGTACATTTTCAATTTATTTTGCAATAAATGTATTTTTAGACAAAAAAAACGGCGGAAACTTTCGAATTGACCCAATATAACAAAAAAAAAAGCATTAAGCGAAATTAAAGTGTTATATAAGTCGTATAGGAAAGCCGGAAAGTTACTGCAACCGAAAGCTTTGAATTTAAAGAAAAATTGGGTGTATTCACCAAACATGTCAAAAAACAACAGCAACAACAACAAAAACAATATTTTTTGTGTATTTCAAACAATGAAGCAGCAAATAAATGAAAATAAACTATTTAAAAAAATGGAACTAAATGTGTGTGTGTGTGTGTGTTCATTTTGAGTTTCTATTTCCATCAAATGCAACAAGTCATTTCATTTTTCTGTATATTTCTTTCCCTCCATTCAATGGAACAAATTGACTGTCGATTATCGAAGAATTTCAATTGAAATTGTTGTGGTCATTTAAAAAATGGATTTTTATGACTCGATCATACGAAACAATACAAAAACGGTGTTTGGATTGCGAATGAAATTCTTTGAAAATTGACTGTGATTGGAATTTGACTTCAAAATCCATGAAAAACGATAAGAAAAGGAAAAAAAAATGTTGATCTCGATACGAAAGCCTTAATGGAAACTATTGGTGCCACACCAATATCTAGATATCGTTCATTGGTAAGAAATATGATTTAGGAAACGTGAACCAGCATTTGACATTAATAAAATAGCGTAAATAGTTGAAAAACTGGAAATTGAAAAGGGCTTTCAAAAATGCACACACAAAACAGAACAACAGAAATAGAGGAAGAGGCAGAGAGAGAAACAACCAGATCAAACGAAAAACAAAGAACAACATAACGAACAGTAACAGATGTGAAAGAAAAAAAACAAAACGAAGCAACAGAGCAGCAGCAACAGCAACAGTAGCAATATACATGGAATGAATGTATATTTTTATGAATGACAGCATCTGTAACACACATCGTTTCAACGACACGGAAAAAAATTGACTTCGCACTCGTGACCAACTTCATGGCAGTCACGCGAGAGAGTGAGAGATTGACATTTTAATGCTTCGTTTGCAAAAACCAATACTCTCTGTGTGTTGAAAAATGTGTTAATTTGATCATTTCATCTGTTCGTTCTTTTAAGAAAATTTCCGAAAAATATTTCGTGTAAATGAGCTGTGCACTCGAAAATTGGATGCATGTAAAGCGAATTTAAATGTGCGTCAATAAAATCAGGGGCATTTGATCAGCACCCGTTTCAAAAAGGTTGGTGTTGTGACATATTTATTTATTTGCTTTCTTGTTTCACTCTCCAAAATATTCACACAAATTGATATAAATTGGATGATGAGAAATGGATGGAGAGATCAACCAACAGACAGACGGAAAAAAAACAACAACACACACGCCAATGAATTTTTCGACACCCGAACGGATTTGATTATTAACTGCATTTTAAGCTTTTTGTATGGTGGACACACATTCGCAACAATTCGGTTTTGGAGGAGAGTTTTTCGATTTACAAACAGTGCAAAATATCGACGGTATCATTTGTTATTGTTTAAAACAAAATAAATAGATAGAGATGTGTCGTTGCCGTGCTGTGTGTATGTGCTGTTGCAACGTTCGATGAAATTCATCGCATTTACGCGTTTTAAAAGATAATAAATGGCTAGAATAACAAATGAATTCTCATTTCAGTACCTTCATTTCGATTGAGCTGACGGATTTCGTCTGCTTTGAACGCCGCAGCGGACCCATATACAATTGGATTTCAAGCATTTTGATGCCAATATGAATAATTACCAACAACAGCAACAACAGGTAAATGAACATTGCACGAGACCCATGACATTTCGGCAGAACAATACACTTTGTTGTCTGGTGTTTTTCTCTCTCTCTCTCTGTTTTTTGCTTGTGGTATTTTGATTGTTCTTAAAAGAATTCTTTGTGTTTTGAGAAAACGAAAATGATTATCAAATCAACAGTTTGATAAAGCAAAATACAATGAAGTTTCAGTTTATAGAATTAAATCGAATGTTCTATCGCATTGTGCTTGTGACGAATTCATAATATTTATGTGCGTTTTTTGCTCATTTTTGCAGCAGCAGCAGCAGCAGCAGCAACACCAGCAACATCAACATCAGCATGCCCTACATCAAATGCAACGTCAAAATGTGCATCAGCAATTTCCACCTCAGCATACGCAGTACATGTATAGTGATCCAACGACCGCTCCTGCACCACGAACCGACGGATTTACCGTGTTCCGAACCACTCATGGCGACTACCTAATGAACAACTACAACAATTACGAATTGTTTTCGAACAATGCATTCATCCCTCCACATCATGCGATGCAACAGCCACCACACTCCCAACAGCCGCCACCACCGCCGCCGCCACAGCAGCCAAGCCAAGAGCATGCATTCTACCATGCAAACAATCTGACCATGGGTGATCGTTACATGACCGATGCGAACAATACGAACTTCATCAACAGTTTGGTCGACAATTGGATACCGAATATGACTGGAATGCCGTTTGGTGAGTACACACCATTCGGTGAATCACCGCTGCCGCCACAGAATATGTCATCAACGCACAATGTCACCGCACCAATCAGCAATGCCAACGAGATTCGTGAAGACTTGACCAACAAGGAGAGCAGCAGCAACAGCAGCATCAGCAGCATCAGCGCGCCAATAATAAACAATGATCCGGACATGAAAAATGGCAACGTTTGCAACGAAAACATTGGCAGTATGAAAATCAATAGTCAAATGTCAGCCGATTGCAAGGAAGCATTTATTCAAACTAACAATCTGCACGCGATGAAAAATGCACAAGCGTCATGCACCAATGGTAATTTCCAATGCGATAACACGAATCCAATCAAACCAACTTCCGATGTGAAAAAACCGCGAATGGTCGCTGAAGTGAAACCCATGCGAATGTCTTATTCCGATGTGCTGAGCAAAAATGTGTTCATCAAAGACGATCTATCCGAGGCGAACACCTTCGCCAATCGCAACTCGGGCGGTGCCAACAATTTTGCAAATGGTCTAGCCAATGCGAACCCATTGCAAAAATCATCGAAAACGGACAAAACCAAGAATTCAATCAATGCCAGTGACAAAAAATCGGCCAACGTTCACGACGACATCAAAGACTATTCGGCTAATTTCAAAGGCACAAAAACGCCCGCCAATTCAACCACGGTGCAAAATTCGGCCGGCATCAAAAGTTCATCGAGTTTCGATGGTGATTCGAAACCAACGGACATTGATGGTAAACAATCGAAGAAAAAAACCAGCGCAAATGTTACAAACGGCAAAACCACCAATCGGACCACGAAAAATGCATCCACGGAATTTTTGAGCAAACGACGTTCACAGACCGATTTAAATGTACCACCGACGAAAGATGACAGTGATAAAAACTCCTCCCCAAACAACAATGGCTATTTTTACAATATCACAAAGAATGAACCGTCAAACGCTGATAAACCATTTCCCAGCTACACAAAAACCAGCCAGAGAAAAAATGCTTCCAGTAAATCGTTTTCGACTGCAGCCACATCGAGCCGAAGCAATTTACCTCGCACCGAAAAATCTACCGTCTACCAACAGAAGCGCAGCAGTAAATCACGCAAAAACAATACGTACGAATTCATTTTGAAATTGGCGCACACTTGGTTCAATTACATGCTGTTCTTTTTCAAATGGTTGATCGCCCTGGTTGCCGATGTGTTCATGCTGAGTATTGGCATCATATTGGACCATTTTTCGGCCGTCTATGATTATTCGTGTCAAATGTTTTCGTCGTTGCGCAGTGAACTGACCAATAATTCCGGTCGTCCGTATGCGTATTTTATTAGTTTATGGCAAAAATTCGATAATAAATTCAGCAAAGACTCCAAATGGGCCGTTTGGCGGCGTTTATTTTCGAAGAAAAAACCACCCGAAACCATACCAGACTACTACAAAAATGGCCGATTACCTCAAACTGGCGACGAAGCAATGTATTCATTATTGAATTGTAAAGGAAAAGATGCGTACAGGTGGGTCAAAACAATTTCATTGTTGTTGAAATACGAATATTTCATCACTTCAATAAGATACACGATTTCTAAATATCAAACCATTTCCATTCACAGTATACTTGGTGTTCAGTCGGATTGTTCGCAAGAGCAAATTCGGAAGCATTACAAAAAGATTGCCGTGTTAGTTCATCCGGATAAGAATAAGCAACCAGGAGCTGAAGAAGCATTCAAAATTTTACAACGTGCATTTGAATTAATTGGCGAACCGGTAAGCAAGCGGCTCCATTTCGAATATGCAGCAAATTCCAAATTTTGAATGATGTTTGAATTTCTTTTACTTCTCTGTCGAAATAGGAAAATCGAAAGTCCTACGATCAAGGTGTTGCTGAGGCATTGAATGCGGAAAAGGCATGGTCAGAACTGAACGATTTACTGAAACAGTTGCAAACAAAAATTGCCGAAGCAGTCAATACGATCAGGTAAAACGTGAAAAAAATTATTCTTTTTTATACTGGCCTTAATCATGCTTATTTTGCCTTTTCGGTATACAGATGCAGCAGTTGTGGTTTACGACACCCTCGCAAGCCAACGGGTCGACCGCATTATGCCGCCAGACAGTGTAACCAATGTAAAATTCGGCACACTGCACGAGAGGTACGTTGAAAATATTATTATTTTCCCAAAATCTGTATCGAAAATATATTGGGTGCATGATTTTGTTCCCCAATACGGAATTCCGTTTCCACACGGAGAACGAGTTCGGCTAGCAACTCTCGTTTCGAGTTGATTAGCTCAAAGGTTGTATAGAATCATGAATTGAATTGTGTGCATATATATTTTAGGGCGACATTTGGGCTGAATCTGACCCATGGTTTTTCGGTTTGCGTTGGAAATACTTGGCGCTAATGGAAGGCAAAGTGCTGGATATCACTGAATGGGCTAATTGTCAAAAGGGTGCATTGTCACATTTACAACCAAACTCGCATATCGTTCAGTATCGCATTGTGTTGGGCGGACAGCAACAACAGCAGCAACAAAATCAACAGCCACACTATCAACAGGAAAAGGAGAGATTAAAACGAGAACAAACAACGTGAGTTTATTATCCCATTCACATCACATGATCATCCAATCCATTTAAATGAACATAACCTTTGTTCTTCTTTCGATTATTCCCCACTCGTCATGTGACATAGTGAGCCAAGTCTGGATGACTTTTTGGATAATTTGTACAGTGGCCAAAATCCACAGAACCCAAATGCTGGTGGTAATGGTGCCGGATCACGACGACGAAATCGTAAAAACTAAACAGCCACTTACACACAGACACACAGACACACAATACAATTATGGAAACAAATATGCGATATACAACTCCGTATAAGTGAATTAACAAAGAGAGAAGAGGAGAAGGAAAGAAAGAGAAAAACTCATAGAGATACACAACAATAGTGTCTCTATTTAATAGCCACTTGAAAAGAATATTATAACTGTAGTAAACAAAAAAAAAGAAGTACATTTTGAAACTGATAATGTTGTATTCAAATTCTCATTGACACACTCTAAATGTGTTTTTACGAAGGCTGCATATAAAATCGTCTAGATGAAGTTTTCAGAATAAATGTACTCAAAAAAATGAATGCGATCTTAGTTTTGGCCTTTTTTTTCTCTCCCATTTCTGATATCGGTTGCGGTTTTTGGTTGACTCACTCAGTTGCATTCCGTACACTGTTGACCAAGTGTCAATGGTAGATGTCGCATGCAACTGAATGCCAAAGTAAATGTGTTTTTTCCCCTCGATTCGAAGAAATCTATATATAAACACGATTTCCACGGTGCATGATAAACGTACGTAATCGGTGGCCGTTTTAAGTGCAATTATAAAATTTGACATTTTCACCGAAACCAAATGGGAATTTACGTCGAAATGTCAATTGTTACTCAAACGAATGTTTCGAAACTTCCGGAACTGCATCCAATCGAATATCGTAAAAAAATTTTACAGGATTTTTTTGTTGTTCATTACATCAGTCCAAAGTAATTGTTAGTTCAAAGAGAGAGGTGAAAAAGCCCAGGCGATTACGGACAATAATCAAAATTGCCGGGAGCAAGATACCGTGCGTTTTATAGGCTTTTTTTTTAAATGCTATAGCAAACATTTTAAAACGTGTCAGTGATATGTCGCTCGCTACCAAAATATACCAGACAACAATTCAATTGAAATTAGTCAACTTGATTCAGCTGCTGGCGTTGGCTCACAGGTGAATGATCACAGATTTAATGGGAAAAAAAAATTCGTTACGTGACTTCGATCACACGATCCATGAGTCTGTATTTACTTTATCATGCTCAATCCAAACAGAAAAAAAAGAACAATTCAATCGACGCTGGGAAATCGAATTTAAATATTTCCTCATCAATTACAAACGATTTGCTAAGGATTTTGCAAACGCCCGAAAAATGAAAATAAAACGCACCGAAAATTTGTTTTTTTTTTGTTGGTTTTACACTTACATATTTTATTTACATTTCAACGTTTATATAGAATACATTGTTTTGAGGAGGAAAGGAAAGTAAAGTATTGCTGCAGCAATACAAACACGTCTGTCAATCGCAATATTCTTTTTTCCTTCAAATTTTCTGTTAACAATGAGAAAATCAAACGAAAAAAAAAATATTGATAATTAAATGAAAACATTCAGTTCTTATGGCAGCATCAGTCTAAGTATTCATTTACAAATCACTTATTTTATAATTGGTACACCATTACGAATATATAAAAAAAAATGAAGTTGTTATGCAAGACTTGAAAATGATTGGAACGAAAGAAAAAGTATATACTCGATTTGCCTACCGAAATGAAACGAAAAAAAAAATTCAAGCTATTTGCAAAATGATGGGCAATGAAACTAAACTCAAAGTGGTCTTGGCGAAAGAAACAAAGAAAAATTGCACAAAAACAACGAATCTGTGTGATCGAGAAAAAAATATGGCTTATATCAATTTTTTTTTTTGTTTCCTGCGTGTGTATGTGTTTTTTTTTTCATTTTGTTGCCATTTATTATGAAAATATTGGTCTAACAAACTATCCGCTCGATATTTCTTCTTCTTTTTTTTCTACAACTTTATTTCCTCTGTATCTCATTAAATTTCGTATCAAAAATTACTAATTTTTTTTTTACTTCTTTTCTACTGATTCGCGCTCTGTTCATATCATCAATTCCCTTTTCCTCGTAGATCGTTTATCAGTCGATTTTATTAAATAATTAAATGGTAGAATTGTTTCTCTATTTTTTCTTTCATCATCATATCATTATTATTGTTTACTTGTTTCTTTTTTTCTTCTCTTTAGTAATTTGTGCATCCACCTACTCTCATTGACATAATAATTGCTATAGAGTTCGTTTACATTGTGTGGTTATCTTTTTCTGCTACTTCTTCTTTTTTTCTATAAAACCTTTTAATTTACTCGCCGAAATTGAGGATCTTAAAGTATGAAATGTGTGTAACGGGTTTTTTTGAGCATCAATTTTCATTAGATTGTTGTGAATGATGGGAGCTGCTCCTAACTGAAAAGCATGTATTCCAACTCAATGAATGTCGATTAAATATGTCGTACAAACGGACATAGTTTGCATTAAATGATGTGATACAACTGAGTTCAGCGAGTTAACATTGTGATTTTTTTTTAGCTGGAATACTGCATATCCCTGTTCCATGACACAACAAACTTTTTTTCCGATAATTTTGATAATTTGGATTCATAAAATAGCTGTTTTTTTTTTCTTCAATAAATTTTTTTCCTTTTCTTTTTAATTTGATAGAATACGTTCTTTTGTTTAATAATAATTTTGATAAATTTTTTTTTCTCTTTGTTTTTTTTTCTTCTTTTTTTTGCCATTTATCTTTACCACCCATTGCATACTAAACTATCACCTTTCGAGCGACCACTGTTGCACACGGCATTCGTCAGTTTGGGTCGCGTCGTTGGTGGTGTAAAGTTAACTGAAATGGTGACTGAATGGCACGGCGGCATCTGCGCGCAATTTTTTCCTATTAAATCGAAACCATCTAAGTACGGTACGAGCGTTTCATAATCAACACTGAGTGGCACATAATGTCGGCCCTGCGAATGTAATGCAAATATTGGAACTGGATTGTGTGGAAAACGGGCCGTTGTATTGTTGGTGGCATTATTATTTGGTTTCGGGAACATTTGATAGCCATTGGTTAGCGGTTCGGATTTGAATTCGGTAATACCGTTGGTGGTTGGTTTTGTTTCGTCACAGCTACTGCACTCGTTGGCAAAATCATAGAATTTGGCTTTTTTGGCATGCGGCCCAGCCGACGTTTCGTCCAATGCGCCATTTTTTTCATTGATTGTTTGCCCATTTTCGTGTACCAAATTAATTGCCGTCGTATCATCGCCACTGTGATGATGATCACCATGATGATCACCATGATGATGTTCACCGTCATGATGGCTATTGTTGTCCTGTGAAAATCGCTGTTGGATATAATTCTTGAATTTATAATTATTATGATGCTCATGATCCGGATGCGATGATTCAGACAATTTGCGTACACGAACCGATTGCGTTGTACTATCGGTTTTTTCATTCGATATTTCCGTATCAGCGTGTACGGATGATGCACGTGACGAATCAAAATCATGATTACTCGTGTCCAAATGCACAATTGGCGGTGCGGTCGACGTTATAACGGCCGCCTGTTGCGGTTGATTTGAGCGGAAGCTCAGATCCTTAACATCGTTGTGATCATTGCTGTTGCTGTGCTCCATATCGGTCAATAGCATGTTTCGTAATTGATTCATTGGAGCTGCATTGTGATACACATTTGTCGGTGGGCTGCCGCTCGATGCACTCACCGAATCAGCATTGTTGTTTTGTTTGCAAAAGTCAGCTGCAGAGAAGATGAAAGAAAAAAAAAACGTAAAAATTGAAGAAATTTGATTTGATTTCATAATCCAAAAATGCATGTGCGATACGTGAATTTTAAAATGTTCAATCAATTCCATTAAAAAAATAATCAATCAAATGGCTGGTTTTTTTTATTTACCTTTCATGAAATCATTGGAATGCTCCTTTAAATGGTCCATTAGTTGGAAGCAGATATCGCGATGTGTGTTGTACAAGAAATTGGCCGCTTGCTGTAGACATTCGTCGTAGCCCATTCGATAGACGTTTTCTTTGTGCAAACACTCCTGATTCTGCAGCTGTTTCATGTAACGTATCGACATTTCGATGATTTCCGTTTTTTCGATACGGCCGCGACCCTTGCGTTGAAATTGCGGCGGAATCAAACGTGACAAATCTGCCAAACAAGAGTTCATACGATCACGTCGTCGCTTTTCAATGATACGATGCGACAGTGGATCTTGCTATAGCGTAAAAAAATGGAAATTAAATTGATTATAAAAATGGAATGCGAATAAATATGATAAGAGTTTGTGTGTTATATGAACTGGGGTCATTTTAATTTTCACTTACACGGGACGGTTTATTTCGTCTACCCGGTGCAAAGTCGGCATCATCTTCGCTGTAATTGGCGCTATTTGTGGAGAAATTCAAACCATTGTCTCCGCAGTACGAAAATCCAGGCAAAGCGGCATCACTGTAACGACAAAGATTGAAAATTCAAACCAATTGATTAGTCGATTGAATAAATAGTGAAAGCTGAATTACATGATAGATTCAGTTGATTTCAACTCAGACGCAAGAGGAAAAATCACACAGAGCGAAGGAGAGAGAAAGAGAGAGAGAGAAAATTCTCGCCTTTTGTTGTTCAATGTTATGATGTTTTCGAATGGTTTTTGGACCCCAACGAAAATTGATAATGCACTTCAAAATAAGGCTAAAGATCAAGTTACGTTCGGTATGTCATTTGTCTAAGTCACAAAATGACGAACGCAGATCAAACATTTCAAAATATTTATGAAAAATATTCGCAGCACGAGCGATACGTCAAAAAAAAAGTTGCCGATTTTGTTCGCATAATGTTGAAAAATGATATCAGTGACCAATTAAAACCAATGAGGCTATATTTGTTTTTTTTTTCTTCTGTCATTTCACTGTGCTATGGTCGTGCTGTGCAAAATGGTACGCGCTCGCAAAAAAAAAATTGTTGCAACATTTTTTGGTGTTATCAAATCGTGTCATGCGAACTCAGTTGCCGTCTCGTACGATCACATTAGCAATTGTTTCGTCTTGTTTTTTTATTTCGCCTTCGATGCGCGACACAGACACACACGCAAATAAAAGGAGTAAAACTTCAAATGATGTTAATCTTCGGTTGGCTGTGTGTCTGATTGGGATTCGCGAATGAATTTCAACGAAAAAAAAACAACAACAACGAAATAATAATAATAATCTGTGGGCCGCCAATGCTCCATATGATGACCACATAACGAAAAAATAGAATGTATTGTCAGTTTATCAACTGCGCGACATGTTCGGTAAATACGTAAAACTCAATACGATCGATAGCAATATGACCAAACAGCGTTTCGTTTGAATTGAACACACTCATACACACACACGAAGGAAGAAGAAAAAATAAAAACGATAATAAAATAAAGACAACCATGAACTCTTTAAGTGGCCATATCCACGTTTCTGTTTACTCATTCAATCGTTCACACTTTGCGAAATGTTGTTTTTCCCTGCGCGCTCAGTCCTGCTGTTTTTCTGTTATCGTCGTCAACGTCGTAGTCGTCACTGCATTCACAATCGAGAGCAAGAGCGAGAGGGGAACAGAAGAAGAAGAAGAAGAAGAAGAAGAAGAACAAGTAAGAAAAATAAAATCGCAGAGAATCGAATCTTTTATGACAAATAAATATTTGGCTGGCTTTGAGATGGCATCTGCTTTTAAAAGTAGACTACAATCAATTTCCGATGATCGATAAATAGCCAGACAAAATAACTAACAAAAAAAAGAAATTAACAAGTCATATCCAATTGATAGATCAACTATATATCATTCGATGATTCGATACAATCGTTTATTTGGCTTTATTGATCCAAAATTTCAGGTTATTAATTCAATAGAGGTCGACCGAAAAGCTCTTTGACAGAGAGACATACCAAAAAAAAAAATAAACACACTGTTTACCTAAACATGAACGTGACTCGAACATTTCAATTTTAATGCGAGCGAATGCGCGATAATTCACTCCTTCTTCTTCTTATCCTTCTGTTGTGTCGGAGTCGCTTTTCTTTGTTTTGATTAAAGTTTCAATTATTCAAATTTGATTAGCACACAATAAAATGCTCCGCATTTACCCAACAATTCAAGAAAATGTTTAAATAAAGGGGGGTAAAGTGGTTGAACAGCACGACGACGTCGATGACGCTAAACAACGATTCAAGTCGGATAACAATAATTACAATAATGTTTATGTGAACATGGAGGAAAGAGTGAGAGCGCAAATGGCACCTTTGCTGTATAATGGAAATTGCCTGACACTGGCATCGATACACGTACTTCGAACGTGATTTATTTTTTTTGGCTATTTTTAGAAATTCGATTTTATTTTCTTGGATTTATTTTTAATTCATTTCTCTCGATGAATTAATTTGCGCAATCAACAACACAGGCATGCAAGCAAGCAGGCAGGCAGGCAGGCAGGCTGGCAGGCAACAGAGCCCAATTGTTCGGTGAAGCATTTTTAGTTGTTCGAGCTAAAAATGTGAATCTTTGTTTTGTTGTTTGATTTTCAATAGATTGTTCTTGGCTGTGTATGTGTTTTTTCTTATTATTTTTCATTGATTTTGACTCTCACTTTAGATGTGCGCTTGAGATTGCATAAACACGTCCACGTGTATGTGTGTGCGCAATGCGATGGCATGTGATGTGATATAGGGATTCATTTATCCCGTTGAACTTTAGCGTGTTCTATTCATCATGCATTCAACATCATCACGCATTCAACTTCCGTGCTAGATTGTGTCGAGTTGGTTGTTCAAAGAAAAACGAGAGTACCCTCTCGCCTCACGTGAGGGTACATTTGCATGAAATGATAAATAAATAAATAAATATCAGCGACGTATATATTCAGCAGTTGGGTCGGGTGCTGGTCAATGAAATTCAATGAGGTTTTTTTTTGTTTCGTTTCCATTTTATCAGCGCTTATCGGCCACCTCGGCTGGTGAAGGATTTAATGAACTTAGCGCTAGAATCGAGGCGCAATTGGTTTTGTAATTCACTTGAACCACAAAAAAAACAACAACTATTAGAGAGCGAGAACTGCGAAATTGTCGAGATTCCATGAACGAGATTGGAAAATATACATGTATAGGGCGAAAACAATGTGAACCTAGTTGAGCAATCGTCGTCGACGTCGACAACGTCATAGTCGTCTATTTGCTCACACATGCGAAACAAAAGCGCTTCATTTCTGGCAAACACACATTTTTCGAGATGAAACGAACAAAAGAGCCAAGAATCCAGACACCACATCTTTCCAATTTAACTATAAAATAGTCAGTACCAAGTTTTTATCATTGCAGTAAATGAGCCGCTGTGTGTGTGTGTGTTGTGGATGTGTGGAAACAAACACGACATTTACGCAAGTGAAACCAATAAGTCGTCAGTAATGAGCAACAAGTGCTGACGAAGTGCCAAAAAATGTGATGGAAGATAAAAACAGACGCACAAAATTACGACGAATGGCTCTACGCAATACTGCCTCCAAGAAAAATGACGAACACAAAGGACAACAACAACAAAAAGCCGAAATAGAAAGAAAAACATGATGATGACGACGACGACGACAATAACTTGAGAAAATACGACAATAGTAGCGGCGGCGGCGGCACTAAGTGACAATGCATCGATATCACAGATATGAAACGAGTACAATGATTGAACATCTTGTTTACGAAGGCAACAAAGATATATTTATTCGAAAATTCAAAAAATTGAATTATTTATCGTACAAGTGTAAGCTCAAATCGTCGACGCGTGCATGCACACAACAATTGAACGGCCAACGAAACGAAAATGAAAAGCAATGAAAAAATGATAGGAAAAAGAAGAAGAACGTCGACGACAGAACAGAAATGAATAAAAAAAAATTGATGAGATTTGTCGCGTACAACCTCACAAGTGGTTTCAACAATTTCGCCCAGCATATACACATATATAGGCGATGAGATTGTTTATCACCTCGAATGCGCGAGACCGTGCGCGCGCTCACACACTGTCACACACAATATCTGTAATCGATGTGAGGTCTGGCTATGGTGATTTAACAAGCCAAGTCAACACACGTCATCCATTATCTCTCATTCTCGAATATTTATGGAAAATCAACAATAAAAATACTTAATTATAAACATCACGTGTCATTATCATATGGATGTGTGTGCGCGGCTCGCGAGCGAGTGAGCGTATCATGTCTGTATATAATTGAATGTGTTTATTTCGCTTACTCTCTCTCTCTCTCTCTTGCTCGCTCGCTCTGGGGTTTTCGCGCTTGGTAACAAAACAACATTTGCATCTGAGTCACACGCTTTTCGAGTGCTTTTTGATTGTAAACATCTATTTCCAAACGATTACGATGACCTGAATGCTCCTGTTTCGTTGCATGCTCATTGTTTCCGGAACGAAAGCACCAACCAACCGTATTCTCTTCTCTTTTTTTTCTCACTGTATACATATGCAAGTATTTTGTTTTTTTCGTGTCTGTGTATTTGCTTGTCATATGCTCACACACTCTTTCTCTCTCTCTCTCTCTGAATAGAATTGTGTGCTGGATGACATTATTACCGAGTCATTTCAAGTGGTATGGATCACTATCTATCTATCTATCCATCCATTTTCATGTACATGTATAATGTGAAAAGTTTCGGCACAAAGCGAAACTTCTCAAAGACAAATTGTCAAACGAACGAATGAAATACAACGTATTTGATGCGATAAGATGAGTCAAAATATATGCGCTTTGTTTGAATTGAATGAACGAATCGAAATAAAAGAAGGGAAAAAAACTGCTCGCCACACTCAATGTTTCAATTGATTTTGAATGGCAAAATATGCAGCAATGATAGATTAATGCTATGCGATTACAGACAGGAGACATCCGCTTATCGCTTTTCGACTCTGAATTTTTCAAACAAAATCAACACCCAACAAAACGACACTTTGCACTTACGCATACACATACACACGATCACTAATTGCCATGCACGGCATGTGTGTGTGTGTATGTACTGTGTGTGTACTTTACGAATGCTTTCGGCTTTCGATCGAATCTATAAAAAGCATGTTCATGTGTGTTTTGTACAGTGAGCCATGTATTCCGATTTTATACAATTTCGTCTAATTCCTGCTTTTTATATATGTTTATTTTTGTTTATGTTATATGAGTTTGTCGTGTTTTGTTTTTCCCCATCATCGATTCACCGTTCTAATTTTGTTAAAATTTTATGGAATTTCCATGTTTTTGCTGTTTTCTTGCGGTTGATTATTCAAACGAAATATAATAAAATTGTATTGAAATTGAAAGCTTTTTATAGCCGAAAAAGTAAATAAGTGGAAATTGAAGCAAAAAAAACGAGAACTAATTGATTGGTGTCCAAAAGGAAACAAAAAATAATAATGAGTTCATGAGT